AAAACCCTGCATATTTATGTATATTTTGTATGTGTGTTCACATGTGTGTATGCACACACATTTACATATATAGGTATGTACAGTGTATTTACGTATATATATGTTGTATACGGATGTATCTATAGACGTATTCATATATGTATATGCTGGTATATCTATGGGCACAAAATCCTCAGTTAATAACCCCTCAGGAGGAACTTCCAGCCCAGAAACCCATTCTCCCTGTGGCTGGAGCAAAGTGCCGGGCTTGGCTGTGTCCCCCCCACCCCTCCCGCTGAGGAAGCGCTTTTGGGGGTTGCGGCAGAGTCCAGGACCTCCCCCAGACCTGCCAGCTGCTGCAGAAGCAAAGAGGAGTCTAACCCTGAGCCCTGTTTCACCCGAGCCTGTTCTTGTTGGGTGTTCATGCAGATACACAGACACAGGTGGATCCAGGACACTCCCACCCATGGCCATCACAGGGAAATACTCCCTCCTCGGAGGACAGGGGAAGGGAAAGGAAAGGAAAGCAAGCCCTTTTTTCTGCTTTTCTTTGTCTCTGTTTGGGAAAGACTTCAAGCGCGAAGTCTTAAGAACCCTCTCGGGAGCTCCAGAGCAAAGATAAATTCACCTCATGATAAAATAAACAAGTGAAACAGATGACCGCTTCTGGGGTTTGCCCACGACACGAGCAAACGCTCAACGTCCCGGTAGTCCCTGTATTCCCGGGAATAAATAACACCAGGGGATTACCATCTTCAGCAGAGCAGAGCGGCTTGCCTTTGTCTCCTACCCTTCCCGGCCGCAGCGGGCTGCTCTCACCGGGTCGCCGGGAGGACCCGCCGCGCTGCCGGCGCCGCTGGAGGCGGCGAACAAAGGAAAAAAACCCCGCCACCGGCCCGCCGCCGGCGCGGGAGGCGCCCGGCATCCCTGGCCGGGCAGAGCGGGCTCCCCTGAAGGGGACACTAAATAATTGATCGGAATCGATTGCCTGCATGCACTGGGGAAGGAAACCGGGCGCACGCCTCGCATGCAGCCCGCTGCCTCTCCCATTTGCGCTGTAATCCTATTCCACCATGTGCAGATAGATGAGGGGACGCAACTCAGCCTTCAGGCCTGGGCGGGGTTCTTGCCGTTTAATCTTTTCTTTTCTCTTCCCTTCGCTGCTTTCTTCCCTCCGTCCCTCCCCTTCTCCTTCCCCCCCTCCTTTCCATCTCCCAGGCCCGGTGAGGTCAGCTCATGAATATTGCTTCATTTTCCTGAGAGGCTGTGGCAGCGCCGGGTACCTCGTGTGCGGGTGCCCGTCCCTCTGTGCATGCATTTCGCCAGCCCGGCAGCAGACAAAGTGGTGGTGAGTAATGCGGCTGCTTTACATCCAAGCCTTTTTGCCTTTTTTTTTTTCTTTAATTATTTTATCTTTTATTTTCCCTAAAAAGGGAATGTTACTCGTAATTCAGACACAACAAAACCCGCCAGGTATAAAGGGGGCCCAGAGAAAATCCTCCTCCCGCGCCTTTAAAAGCCGGACAAAAGGCAGAAGGTCTCCCAAACCTTAAGTCGCGGTTGCGAATCGGGATGTAGGAGTGGGAGAAGCGGGCGCCCGGCGAGGGGAAGGGGGCGGCCGGGGCCGGGGAAAGCCCTGCCTGAAGCCCCGGGCAGGGGACATCCCCACGCCGGCGGGTGGAGCCACCGGACTTCTCCCTTTTGTTGCTGCCGTTTATTTACGCATTTATTTTTTTTTTTTTTCCGCTTGGACAGCTGTTCCCGCTAGGAAAACCTGCGGAGACGCCAGGTCCTGGGCGCCACGTGGGTTTGCCTCTGGGGAGGAGGCTGTGTGGTAGAGTTTTGTGAGAACGGAGATTTCAGACTTGGGCTCAAACGGGGCTTTCGTTGTGCCAGTTAAAAGAAAAAAAAAAAAAAAAAGAAAAAAAAATTAGCCAACTGAACCGTAGGCGGTAGCCGGTCCTGGAACTGGGGACATGTACAGTGCGGGTTGTGTTCCCGGCAGATCGTGGTGGACACTAATGACTTTGCTGCAATGAAACTTCCCGAAAAGATCCAGGTACAGCGTAGGGTTCCCGATTATTATTTTTAATTTAATTTTGTAATTTTAATTTTACAGTAGGTAAAAGGCAGGGTAATAAGTAAGATAAAGGATTTAAGCTGAGACCTGGCTTTTTGCAGTTTCTTAAGGTTTGGAGTTCAAGAGTGAAATTTTGTACCTCTGAACAACAGCATTTTGAGAATTCTGTTTGGGATGGTTAATAGAGATGCAAAGCAAATCTTTCATGAAGTGTTGTGATACAAGTGTAAGTTTTGATAGGTTTACACTTCCATGCTCCCTTTTTAGTCATTAATGCCTGGGAAGTTTTTGCCAAATTGCATTCTTTCGAGCATTGATTTCCAGTATATTGGTTAAAATAAGGGTGATAATGACAGTGCATTTGAGAGGAAACCCTGTGCCCCTGCCAGTGAGCGCAGAGCAAACACAGTCTCATTGTCTGGTATCTTCCAGGGAGTAAACCAATTGTCAGGGTACGCTATAATATCTACATTGATTTTGCCCAGTCGAGTTTCTTTCTTCATTCCCTCCTCTAGTAGGGAATGGTTAAGCTGTGTTCTAGGAGGGGAATATTTAGGCCGTGTTAGGAATGCTGTCTTTTCTACTTTTGCCCACGTTTTCCCTTTAAGGACAGTTGAATAAAGGCTATGTGAAAACTGACTGTGGATCATAGCCATTATTTTCAGAATATGTGAAGGAACGCCTTTTCAGCATGATATGGCTTTTAACAGCCCTTTCAAATAATCTTTTGTGACCATGAAAACCATGGTTTTGTCACCATGGGGGAAAATTGCCTTCTGAGCACCCTTTAGTGAGTACCACATAACATCTTTTACTGGGTTAGGGTGTATTCCTTGCTTCCTCTGTTTTGAAAATCTGCTGGTGTGATTACGCCTCAGTCCTATGTCAGCATAATCAGTAACAAACCTGAATTGGTCCTAAATCTTCACGATGCCTCTGGAAAACAAACTGGAGCAAATCTGGGTTTAGAAGCTGATTGAAGGGCCCCTTCCCTTTAGGGTCCTCGATTCCTGAGTTGCAGAGGCCTAACGTTGTCCTGGAAGAGGCCCTGTCAAAGCTGAAGGGAAATCTGTTGTTGCATCCACGTGCGCAGCCCTTTGTACAGCAGCCTTTCCCCACACGGCTGTGACAGACACCTGGAAGAGGCCTTGGGGGAGGCAGGCAGGTGCAGCAGCACCCCAGGCTGGTGCTCGGCTTGGTAGCGAGGACTGGAGAGAGGGAAGGTGGCGTGTGGGTGGAAATTTAACTCGGAGGTGGCAGCCCGGAGCGGGAATGGTTTGGCATCGGAGGGGCGGGGAGGGCGACCTGGGGGGACAAACGCCCCGGGATGCAAACGGAGTGGGAACTGACCTCGGCCTCAGCCGGGCTGTGTGGGCTCCCTCCCGAAAGCCGTTTACTCCGGATTGACGTTGGGCTTCAGCCTCGGCCGGCTTCTTGCCG